TTTGCTCCTCGCTGGAATCACCTCATCCTACCTGCTCCATCCTTCTGTCTACATGGCGAGGATGGGATGGGGGATTTCTCTCTTCTCTTCATCCCACAACACCCAGGCAGAGAACTGGCAACAACCATGGCGTCAGTGTTAATTCCCAGCGAATCAACTCTCACGTGTGACAACCACATGGATGCAGAGAAATCTGCTCCCCAGGCCGGGCCCTTTCTGAAGCCGACTGCCGGGCTTTCCTTCTGAGGTGTCTCTGGTGGACTTGAGCTGTCAGCCGTCCATGCCACGCCGCTTACATCACCTAAGCACACTTGGCAATTACCATAGAAGTGACCATTCTGATGTGTCCACGGATCCAGGCAGCCAGAGGGAGGACATTAGGCCTCTTTGAGCAGCGCTTGCCCTCAGAATCTGTCTCCCTGAAGCCCTGGGGATTTGAGGAGGGGCTCTTGCCTTGCAAATAACGTCCAACTATTCCCTGACATCATTTTCAGCCCCCGCGCATCAAGCAACACAGCAGACCTCTCTTGTCCTTGGCCCACACATCTGGCCTGCACCGTTATTCCCCCAGAGACACGTTTATGGAAGAGCGAGGGCAATGGCTCTACACACAGCACTGCAGGCAAGCCTGAAATATACTTTAGTACATTTAAGGAGCCATTGCAGAGACTAGCTTTCTCATGATAAAGATGCAACTGACACTTATTGGGCGTGAAAATGTCAAGTTGTTGCAATCCAGCAGGAAGCCTGACAAGCCATTAAATGGGACGCTGTGTCCCGCCGGCTTCTCTCATCCACTCCCATGCCTCCTCCAACAATGGCTTTGGGTTCTTGAAGCTGACTTTGAGGTGGTGGGGGCAGGGAGGGCCTATCAAACTCCAGGATGGCCCCTTTCTATTCCAGCCGTCAGCACAACCAAGGAGACCTCAGAACGTCAGTGCCAAGGTCCTCCATCCAAATGCCACCCACAGAAGATGGCCAGGCATGCGTCTGCTGGCACTGGGTCCAGGCCTGGCACTGGCCTTGCATGGCAGGCCCCTGGAATGCTGGTCCTGGCCATGATGCCCTGGCTGCACCTGTCTTATCCCGGTGGGGAGAGGACCAGGAAGAGTCGAGAGAGGGGTGGAGGTGGGCGCCGAGGAAGAAGCCCCAATGACACTGTGGGTTAGGTATTGGACTGCTAACTGCAAGGTTGGTGGTTCAAACCCACCAGCAGCTCTGTGGGGAAAAGAAGAAGCTGTCTGCTCCCATAAAGATTTACAATCTTAAAAACTCTATGGTGGGTCGACGTGAGTCAGAACTGACTCAGTGGCAGTGTTCTTGTTTGTTTGTTTGTTTAAACACTCAGGAAACCAGCAGTGTTGGATCAGAGGCAGAACTCTCACCATCCACTTCAGAGACTCAGGTTAAATTCTTACCATACATGTCAGTGGAGGCTTGAGCATTATTATGATGCTGAACATGTTTCCATGCAGCTTTCAGATTAAGGCAGACTAGGAAGAAAGGCATGGCTACCTACTTTCAAAATTCAACCAATGACATCATCCACATCCCTGGTCAAGCTGTGGTCAACTAGCCACTTGGCCTCCAGAGATACCTGCACTGCGTTGGTTAGGCCCTCCCCATGAAATCCTGCCCCGTGGCTACCACCTATGCTGGTCAGGCCCATACCATTGCCGTGACACATGCACAGCCACCCAGCCACTGGCAGAAATAGGATTGTCACTCCTGCCAGTTGACCCATCTGGAGAGCTACCTGGCCCGTGAAGGACCTGTCCAGGCCCGTGCATGAGTACCTTTTGTTCCACGGGGGTTCAGAGGTTGTTTATCCACTTGGGTTTGTATATTTATTACACTGCTAGGGGAGCGGCCCGGAAGTCTCATACACCTCCAGGAGACATCCGACATGCCAGAGCTGGGTCCAGGTCTGCCACTAGCCCACATGAGCCCATGAGCCCTAGGCTCACTGGCCTGGCCACGGTGGCCTGGCTGCACCTATGATACAGGGGTTGAATGGTACACATCTGCCCAGATGAGCTGAGCTGAGCCAAGCCTGTGGAGACACCTGGTGCACTAATGTGTGTGTGTGTGTGTGTGATTTTTTAAGGACAAAATTCAACCTACCCCTTGGATTTGGGAACTTTGCCATAACTGTTGTGGATCTGGCCTCCTGTTCACACTACCTGTTCCTGCTGTTCTGTGCTCACACACCTTTCCCTATTAAACCACATGCAAGCTCTTAAAAAAAAAAAAGTCAGCCAATGCCAACTCTGTGGATCACAACAGTCCACCCCGCAACCAGGCGCAGAAATGGAGAAGGACTAGGCTGCACTGAGTTCCCTTTGTGCGTGGGGTGGCCATGAACGGAGGGATAACTTGACAGCTGCCAACAACAGTGAGTGTCCAGCAGGAGGAGGACTTCACACTCGAGGATGGGGGTAGGGTGGGGGGGAGCTAGGAAAGAATAATGCATGGATGATTTCTATAGGTGGGTGACTCTAAACTCCCCCCGCCACCTTCCTTCAGCCAGGCTGGCCTGAGGAGGGGAAGCACAAGTCCTGGCAGGGTCTTATTTTTGGATTTGTTCCCAAGATAGATGATGATGGCAAGCCGTCTCCGATCCCACTGGGAAACTCTGGATTGTCAGCCTGGCCTAACTACTCAAAAAAAAAAAAATGTTTTCTTGACTTCTGCTTGTTTAAATTGCCCTTGCTCAAACACAAGGATGTGGTAGAGTTGTTGAGAAATGGTAGGATGGGAATACTAAAAGAGGAAAGGCTTGAAGGTAACAAGCGGCCATCTAGCTCAGAAGCAACAAAACCCACATGGATGAAGCACACCAGCCTGCGCGATCACGAGGTGTTGAAGGGATCAGGTATCAGGCATCATCAGAACAAAAAATCATATCATTGTGAATAAGGGTGAGTGCAGAGTGGAGACCCAAAGCCCATCGGTAGGCAACTGGACATCCCCTTACGGAAGGGGCACAGGGAGGAGACGAGCCAGTCAGGGTGCAGTGTAGCAACGATGAAACATACAACTTTCCTCTAGTTCCTAAATGCTCCCCCGCCTCCCGCCCCCACTATTATGATCCCAATTCTACCTTACAAATCTGTCTAGATCAGAGGATGTACACTGGTAGAGATAGGAACTGGAAACACAGGGAATCCAGGGCAGATGATCCCTTCAGGACCAGTGGTGAGAGTAGTGATACTGGGAGGGTAGAGGGTGGGTGGGGTAGAATGGGGGAACTGATCACAAGGATCTACATATAACCTCCTCCCTGGGGGATGGACAACAGAAAAGTGGGTGAAAGAAGACGTCAGACAGTGTAAGATATGACAAAATAATATTATAATTTATCAAGGGTTCACAAGGGAGGGGGGAGCAGGGAAGGAGGGGGAAAAATGAGGAGCTAATGCCAGGGGCTTAAGTGGAGAGCAAATGTTTTGAGAATGAGGGCAACGAATGTACAAATGTGCTTTACACAAATGACATATGTATGGATTGTGATAAGAGTTGTATGAGCCCCTAATAAAATGATTTTTTAAAAAGGAGATGAAGAAGAAGAAAGGACGGACCCCGCTGTTAAAAAATTGGGAAGGATGCTAACAGGCAGAGGGCATCCAAAGCCCTGGCTCTCATTCATGCTACGCATGCTTCCCTGCCCGCACAGTGAAGTGGCTGCGGTGCCAGGTGGTGGGATGGCAGGATTAGGGTTGTTAGGGTGGTGGGGTCAGAGGCCTTTGGCCAAACCTTGGTTAAGAAGGTTGGGAAGTTGTGGCCCTGTCCTTTTCTTCCAAGCAGAGGCTGCAGCTGTCACCTCTGAGCTGTGCGCTAAGCCTGCCTCCCGTCCGTAAGCCAATATGAGACAGAACAGGTATGCTGGGGTAGGTGTGGGAATATATCCATCAATGAAGCCGTGTCGTGTGAACCAGCTGATGAGGCGTGTTTGTACTTGAAAGGCATAAAGTTCTATGCAAAATCTATGGGTGGCACTCTTGCACAATGCTGGGGGTGGGCGGCGGGTGGGTGTGGCATGGGATGAAGTTTATAGGCAGTGTATGCGTGTGCACAGACTTCTGAGTGTGCACACGAAGAAGGACAAGCTCAAATGCGTGGGCTGTGGGGTCCGCCTTGTTTGGCCTTGACTCCTGGTTCTGCCATTAGCAGAGGCGTGCGTGGCCGCGCTGTCCTCCATCTCCTCACCTATGAAATGAGAAGAATCCAGACCCTTCAAGATGGCCAGGGGGACTGGAAGGAATACCACACAGGCTAGTACAAAGCTTCTGGGACCCTCGGTGGCACGTGGTAAGACTCCATTGTAGGCAGCCATGCCCACACGCTGACTGGGTATGCCCCTCTGCAGAGTGCTCAGGCAAGGCAGGGCCAAAGGCATGCCCAGGACCTTGCATGTGAAACCAGAGGGGCTGAGGGAGGAAGGGTAGAGTTAGGTGCACATGCGAACAAACTGATGCAGGAGTGCCCTTCCAAGGCTAAAGCCTCTCCTGCTCCTCCTGTTCAAGGGGGCAGCAGGGTGGGGATTACAAGGCTCTGCAAGTCACCTGGGTTTCTGGGTCCTGGATCTTAGCCTGTAAGAATCTGAGAGACTAACAGGAGAGGCAGGAAGCCAACTGCCAGCAGAAGCTTCCTTTTTTCCCCTCCACCCAGCAACCGTCACCCACACGTTGAATATCTCCACCCACATGTTGCTCCCCACCTCCACCGCCTTCCCCCGCCACCCCCAACTCGGCTGACTTTCCTTTCAACAAGTGAGAGCCTGGGCGGGGAAGAAACCCAGGTTCAGGGAGGATTCCTCCCCTTCAGTTCCTCATTCCCCCTTAAGACCAACCAGGAAGCAGCCGCAGCTTGCAATCGGGCCACCTTAACTGTAGAGTAATGGTCTGGCCGGGTGCCAAGTCCCACCTCTGTAGCAGCTCCGCTCCTCCCCTTTCTCCACCCGCACGGCTCGGGGAGAGCTGGGGAGTCTGGCTGGAGTTGGCAAGAGCTGTTGCCATGACAAGCATTTTCTTTAGAAAGCGCCGCCGTTGAGGCCATCCAAAGCTTGGGGTTGGAGGGGCACCAACTTCCAGGGGGAACCATCCCCCCGAGAAGGCGAGCAAGACCACAGACACTCGCCCTGCTCGTCTGCGCCCATTTTCGTCCAGGAACCTGCGAGGTCCTTCCCATTGGGAGGACGGGCGGAGGAGACCCAGCCCATTACCCAGCCCCGGAAAAAAAGGCGAGGGAGCCAAGCCAGCATCTCTAACGCGGTGGCCACCCTGGGGAGGCTGGTGGGTAGTCACTCCCACCCTCTCTCTGCTTGCTCTGTGGCAACCCGGAGGGAGAGTCCCACTTGGAGAAGCCTGGATCTTTGCTAGAAAGAGGTAGGCTTGCTGAGAATGAATTGACTTGAATCGAAAACTTTGTTTCTTTCTTTGCAGTCGCTTCTAAAACTCCCTTAATTTCTTCTTCCAAGCATGTTTTTATGTGAGTGGGTTTGCAGATTGGGGGGGCGGGGGGCGCGCTTCTTTTTTCAGATGTGTGCGCGCACGCACACAGATATGTCAGATTATTTCTTTCCTGGACCCAGTTCTCAAAAATCGTGCTCCAATATCAAACAAGTTGATTTCTTTTGCTTTTCCTGTTTCTTGCCATTCCTGGGCCTGGGGATTAGGGAAATGTGGGACGGGTCTTTTCACACCCAAACTGAGCTCTTTAGAAAAGCATTTATTTCCTCTGGCCCTTAATGCCCTCTCCACCCCCCACCCCCACCCCATCCTCCCTTGGCCTGGGAATCAGGCGCCGAATGGAAAACTGTTGCAAAAATATTTTCCACGTCTGTTCCCTTTCTCGAAAGCCCCAAAGAGAGATGGGGGAAAAAAGGCGCAAGTAAGAAATCTTCTACAGGAAGGAGGGGCTGCTGGCGGGACTGGCAAGGGGGTACCTTAGGGGATGGGCTGGGGGTAGGAGCTAGGCGAAGCTAGGGAGTGGGGAACAGGGGGTGCACAAATTAAATTTCTTTGGCTTTGCAGAGAAACCTCAGCAGTTTCTCTCTGCCTCTTGCAAAACATCCTCAGACTTTCACGGCTATAATTAGCGGTGGAAAAAGCTGGGAGTTCCCTACTACCTTGAGTATGTGCCAGCTTCCAGAACCAACTGAGTGTCTCCGAAGGGCACCACGCCACACATCTTGGGTCCCAAATGAGAGGGAGAAGGTGTGACGCGGAAAAGTTTGGGATGTCAAACCTCCAAGTCAGGCCCGGTGGTCGTGGGGGCTGGTGAGAGTTTGGTGTTTGGGGGTTGACCAGAGGCATCCTTGGGGGTGGTCTCTGAAGCATGTCGGGCCACTGCGTATCTAGAGCTAGAAATTAAAGCTGGGATTGCCCCTCCAGCGCTTCTTGTTCTCTCTCACACACGCACTCACATACTTGGCTCATTCCTGGCGGAGGAGGCCGCCTGGCATCCTCCCTGCGTCTAGTCCAGCCTGACCCGCGCCATCGCGCCGGGCCACCGCCGCTCTTCTCCAGCGGGGTGTGGAGGGCGCGGGAGGAGCCGCGACCCCGGTGTCCTGGGAGGGGAGGGAGGGGAGCGGGCACTCTGCGCTTCCCTCCCGGGCATTTCTGCCACACTTATAAGAACTTGCCGACGTGATGCTGGCGCCTGCTGGCCTGGTAGAAGGAATGTCAGAAGAAGAAATAGGCGGGCACTCCACCGACGCGGGTGTGGGGAGGGGGGCAAGAAGCGTGGGGACAGAGGGAACATAAGATCTCATTCAACAGCGCCATCTCCTCCTCTGGGTGGGGTGTCTGGCTGGAAACCTTAAGATTCTCCTCTTTCTCCTTGAGCCTCTCCCCAGAGCTGCCTCCTCTCCAGCGTCCTGCTTTGGGGGCACTCCAGGATGGGTTGGATCTTGGAAGTCGGGAGGGTCCTGAGGGGAGAGTGGTTGGCTGGATGGGGAGAGCCGTATCGAGAGCCCGCGACCCTCCTGGGCTGCAGGTGGTGGCTTCCGGAAGCTGGTGCCAGGAGGGGCAGTGGGATGGTGGCAGCTTGGTGGAAGGGCAGCGTGGAACGTGGGTCCTGGCCCAGAAGCAGGCAGATCTGGGCGAGGCAGGCTGGAGGAAGAAGCAGAGGAAACACCTGCCCCCTGCCTCAACCAAAGAAACTGGGGGTGGGGGTGGGGGTTTGGGGATGGAAGCAAAAGCCTTGGAGGAGCGAGTCAGTGGCGGGGACCGGAAGCAACAGGAACCACCCTTGGGGCTGCGGGCCTTATCATTGTCTGTACTTGGCCTTGGGGATGGATTCCCCTGCGCTCACCGTGGAGCAGCAGGTCCTGATGTAGCACCTGGGCCTGGCGTCTTGGGTGGGGTGGAGTGTGCTCGCTGCAGATAGCTGGGGGAGTGCGGGGGAGGGGGACGGGCGCAGGGATCGAGGCTGCAGTCCACTCGCGACCCCCGCCCCTCCGGGCAGCCTCTCCGCCCCGCCCTGTCTTCAGGCTCTCCCGCCGCTCAGCTCCACCCTCCAGGGCTCCACCCTCCCCAGCTCGGCCTTCTGCTAAGAGCAGTCCGTGGGGAAGACGCTCGCCTGAGCTGCAGGAGCAGAGGTTTCCTGCCTTCCGGACCCAGCTGAGCCTCGGCCACTTCCCCTTCCATTTACCACCTCCTGTCCCTGAATTCAAGGTCAAATCCAAAGGCGCACAACTGGCCCCACTGCTTCTGGGAAGGCCAGTGCCTAGCACTGTGCTGGAGGGGCAATAGGCGCTGTCTATTGGAGACCTGGAGCGGGGTCCGCAGATCTAGGACCTGCGTCCCACTCGCTCTTCAGTTGCCCTCGGGTCCCTTTCCCGTTTCCCCTCCGCACAAAGGGAAACCTGTCCCTGACAGGGATGGTGCAGAGCCCGATTTGTTAGGATTCCCGGGGTCTTTGATGTCACAAGAAAGCCAAAATAGAAGAGTCCAAAGGAAAAGTAGAGCTGTGAGAATTTGTGTGGATGTGTGTAGTGAGGAGAGTGGCGATCTGTGAGCCATGATACTGAGAAGCATCCCACCCCCACCCCTACTCACTGGGGGCCCTAGAGGCATAGGGGTGCTGTGAGGGGTGTTGATAATTCATCAGGGTGTGGACCCAGCTGCCATCTGTCAGCAATTCAAGCAGTACGCAGGAAACTGCCTCTTACTGGAGAATTCAGCATCTCTGCCACACCCTGCTTCCAATTTCTCTTACTCCTAAGCCCCTGACCTTGCACAAACAGAGAAGTGCAGGGCTGCTCTCTGAAAGGTTGGCGGTTTCCATCGCTCTGAGGTTCCTCAGAGACGTGCTTCTGAAAGGTGTCAGTCATCGGAAACCCCCATGGAGGTTGCTCTGAAACCTATAAATGAGGTCACCAGAAGTCACAGCTGACACCACTGCACCTGGCTTGGTCTGGGACCCAGCACGCAAACACATGGGTGAGCCCTGCCCATCCAAGGCCTCCCCAACCCCCAACCCCACTGCTGATGAGCGGATTCTCACCCATAGTGATTCTAGGTAGAACTGTGTTTTCGAGACTCCACATCTTCACGGACTCGGGCTGCCTCATCGCTCCCCTGAGGAGCAGCGGGTGGGTTCAAACTGCCCACCTTGGGGTTAGTAGCCTAATGCTTAATCCAATGTGCCATCAGGGAAGAACATTCCATAGCCACCAAGCTATGGGGGGAAGAAAGAAAGAAGCTCATTCTTAGTCCTAAAGACCCTAAGAAGAATGACCTAGGTTAGATGCAAAACTCCTAACTCCCGGCCATCAAGTCGATGCTGACTCACGGTGACCCTGTCGGACCGAGTACAACTACCCCTGTGGGTTCCCGAGCCTGTAACTCCTTTGTAAGTAGAAAGCCTCCTTTTTTTTATTGAGGAGCAGCTCATGGTTTCAAACTGCTGACCTTCTGGTTAGTAGGCCAACACGTAACCACTACACCACCGGGTCTCCCAACTATTTGATCAGAATGCCCACTTAGGCCTAATTCTCCTCCACTGGGGAGAGTCTCGTTACCTTCTGAAACCACCCTCCTTCCCCCCATCCCGACTCCAGCATGCCCTTCAGACTGGGCTTGCTACCCTGGCCAGTTCCCTAGCCTCAGACAGGCAGACGCCTGGCACTGATGCTGAAGCCATGATGGTGCCGGACAAGGAGAGCAGGCTGAGGAAGGCAGGGCCTCTGGACCACCAGGAAGCGGGATATCCCCCCATTCCCTGTGTATTTTCTATTGTTTTTTGTTGGATGGGCCATGGGAACAGAGCAGGCCCTGAGGCCGGAGTCCAAACAGGCAGTGGTGGAATGTTTTGTACTTGGCTCCCTCTCCAGCCCCTTGGGCTCCTCTTTCCTCTTTCCCTTGTATGAGCCATTCTTGTTCCACTGACATTCTTGTTCCTGTGCACGTGTTGAGATAGAAATGAAGGGCACCTTCTACTTCTGAGGAGCCCTGCTGTCGTAGTGGTTCCTCCGTTGAGCTGTGATCCTCAAGGTGAGCAGTTCGAACCCACCAGCTGCTCCTCCAGAGAAAGATGAGGCTTTCTACTCCCCTACACAGTTACAATCTCGGAAACCCCAGGTAGTTCTACCCTGTCCTGTCCTATGCGTTGGCATCGACTTGCTGGACAGTGAGCTTGACTTTGGTTTGGAATTGAGACTTCTGACTTCATCTGAACGCCAGGGCCCTGTGTCCTCAGTCCACAAGAACTCGAGCTGAGGAGGAAAACCAGAAAGGGTCTAGTTAGAACCGGAGCCCAGGACTACTGGCTAGGGGAGGGGCTGCTGGGAAGCAGTGTATGTGGGGTGTGTTTGGGGCAGAGTGGGGGCTGTGATGGAGAGAGGGGTGACTAAGGGAAAGAGGGACAAGAACATAGGTGTCAAGAGGCGGTGGGCCTCTCTTCTACTTCTGCACTCCGGCTCCACCTTGGTTTTCAGTCCATCGTTTCTCTCTGCTCTGGGTCCCTGAATTCAACACGCACTTCCTGGGACAGTTTAGGAAAGATCAGCTGGAATAGGGTCAGTGAGACCCCTAGTTATCTTCTTGACAGCTCACCAGACGTGGGACAGAGTGGGTTTTGGGGGTTGGGAACTTCAGGACCCTCACCTAGACCTGGAAACACGTGACATAGGATACCTGATAGTGAGGCTCACCAACAAGAGTTGTCAAGTCAACTCCAGGAATACAAAACAGTACAACCTCGATGGACGAGAAGTTAGCAATATCTAACCAGACAGCGGATGCATTTACTTGGAAATTCTGCGTCTAGAAATTTATCCAGAAGATGCATGGTCACCAGTGCGAAAAGGCATCCACACTAGTTGATTCTGGAAGGCCTGTTTGTAGTAGGGAGTCACTGAAAACTGCCCAAATGCTTACTC